AAACACATCCAGTCGATATGGCCGCAACCACCATGAATCTACCGCAGCACACTCCATTAACCCAGAGGACTGGCTGGTCCTAAGATAAGTCAGCAAGTGCGACTCACAGGCAGACACCCAGCACCCTTACCAGTCAACCAGCCCGTATGTGAGTGTCAGGAAAATGGAAAGTAAGGGTTTGGCGTCAAATGTCCCACAGACTGGAAGTGGCATAATGATGGATGCTCATAAGCCTGTCAAAAAACTCAACCTACCTGCCAGCAAAGCAGTCAGGGAGACCGTCGACCAGTCCAAGCAATTACAGATTCAGCTAGACTGCAGCCTGCATCCACAGTATGTAAGAGAATCCCTCAGGGTTTTTATAGAGCGAAGGTGAGGATGTCAGCAGGCTCCAGTCAGGCAGGCCCCACAAACACTGGCTTCTGTGTCTTCTCACCTCATTCTAGTTTATTTTGAGAGGATTTGGAATTCTAGGATATGTGCCATTTAAATGAAAGCTGAAGATAACCTGCAAGTATCATAATCGTTCAAGAGAAACATGAATCGGTATTACCTTTAAGATTTGATGAGTGGTGAAATAGGTGATTTTCTTCATCTGCAGGCGTATAGATAATAATGTACTTTTGGAGAACAGTAATATCTATCTATCTCTGCAACATTCTCACTCTTTGAATTTTTATGTATATTTACAGCATATTTTTTGTAATGACTTATTTTTTCTTTTATTTCCTCTTTTAAAGAGACAACAACAGTCCAACAGCTGGTTATTTGCTTCTCCGAAGATGCCAGAGCGAGAAGATGTGGTACAGATGTGACACTTGCACACATTTCTGGTTTATTCTGACTTTTTCTCTAAAGGTTAAACAACTCTGGAGCTGCCCGCAGTGTGTGCATTATCATGGAAATCATTTCTCCATCACCAGCCAGGAGAGTAAACGTAGCTTCCCTGAAAATACGTACATGGCACATACTTTGTTCCACAGTCCTGAGGCTAGTGCAGCATTTCTAATTTTTAAAACCGATATTAATAACAGAGACAAAAAAGCAAGGAGCCTCAACCGAGTTTCTGATATCTAGCTGTAGTTTTGTGACACTATAATTGTGACTGGCAAAGATTAAAACACGAAGCTATTAAATAAAACATAGAATATTTATTTTAAGAACTGACTCTGCACTTTATTCCCGAGAGGAATATGATGGGTGACAGCAGGGTGCTCCCAGAGAGCTTCGTATGCTGTAAAACCTCATCGCCATCGCTCATGTTTTTCCTCATTCCCAGCCTCTCTTCTCCTGTATTGATCGACCCATTTCTTTCTGTCTCCACTCGTTGCAGATCATCAGCACACCGCCTCCTTCTCATATAAACTTATAATGTCATTGCTACGTTTCACAGAACCCAAGTCATGCCTCAGCGCTACACTTCTGGAGTACAATGGACTAAAAAACAACCATGGTAACCTTCTAACATGGGGAGACATGTTGAGAGATAGGAGACATTACGAACTGTGTATGGTAAACCAGAGGCACCAAAAAGTCCCAGTTTTGATTAAATTCATAACAATTTGAGAAACTCAAGTCTGCCAATGATTAGTTATTATCAAGCAGAACCAGAAGACTTTAGCTTAAAAATGGGAAAAAAATCTATCAAGATTATGTGGTATAATGTGTTGGACATTGACAAAACAATTCTGAATCTAACAAGCAAGATTTGACACTTTCATTCAAACAGTTTCTACAAAAATGTTGCATGAAATCTTTAGGAATTACAGCTATTTTTATACAGAGTCCCTCATTTTCACAGTATAATGAAACTAACATAATTTTAAATATGAAGACTGCCTCTAATACTTGGATGAAAAACACCTTGCAGTCAATAGCGCCTTAAGTCTAGAACCCATGGACATCACTAAATGTCGTTTCCTTCCTTGAGATGTTCTGGCAGGCCTTTACTGCACCCAGCTTCATTTGCTGCTTGTTTGTGGGTCTTTCTGCATAAAGCTTAGATCTTCAGTAACTAGAAAGCATCCTCTGTTGGATTGAGATCAGGTGACTGACTTAGCCACTGAAGAATACCTCATTTCATTGCCTTGACAAACTCAATGGTTGCTTTTGCAGTATGCTCTGGCTCATTACCCATTTATAATGTGAAATGCAGACTGATCGCTTTCACAGCATTTGGATGGATCTGAGCAGAGACTACAGCCCTGTACACGTCACAGTTTCTCCTGCTGCTCCTACTAAAAGTGAAATCAAAAATAAAAACTACTGACCTGGTTACACTGTAAGCAATATGCCCATGTCATACCACTGCTTCCACAAGGTTTGACAGATGATCCAAAGACATTTTTCAGAACTGTGCAAGCTTGTTTAGATATTTTTTGACAAAGTCTAGTCTGGTCTTCTTTTTCTTGAGTGTAACCAGTGGTTTGCACTTTGTTCG